TATAATATCCTAATCCATTAATCCATATAATATCCTATAATTTCTTAAAGAAATCAAACTGTATACCAAAATATAAATTCAACAAAACTCCAACTTAATACACATATATCACCATCTCTAGTAATTATGTCCACACAAACATGTATATGTACAAAAGCTGAGAATCATCTACCATGTATTCAATTGTGAAAGCAGAATAATATATATCATATTTTTATTATTTCACAGCTCCACCAAAAAATATATTTCTGCGTTAAATGACCCATCATGTAGTTGATATGCCATTAAACAAACAAAAGAAAAGAAAAAAGAAAACTAATCTGAATTGAGTTCAATTCTGATCTAATCTGCTGCTTTTACTTTTTACAGAAAATCTCCCATAATTCCTCCCCCAACTCACTATAAATAGCAGAGTTGATAAGCTTTCTAGCCTTGTTTAGCAGCCAGTCTAAGAGAAAAACAACTGAAAGCAAAACCGTGGACAAGGCAACCGGAAACTGTTTTCTAAGAAGTCAAACTAGTTCTGAGATAATTACCGTCCTACATACACACACACAAACGTAGGCACACACACTCACAGAAACAAATGTACAAACCCACATTCACCTGCACACACACGCAGACGCAAACACTCACACTCACACCCTCACACGAAGAAATGTACACACACATTTTCGCTCATAAAGACGCATACAGAAACGTATATACATACTCATCCACACAAATGTACAAACACATTCATACACACACACACGCACACACATACGCATACAAAAAAAACTGTAGTGAACTGAAAGAGTTGTAAAAAAAAGAATAAGAAAGTCGGTATTAAGGGGAGACAATCATTACTGATGACCATGCAGGTAGCGTTATGGTTATCGGTAGAGAAAAAAATGAAATCATTTTAGCCAAGTTCAAATTCCAGCCTGGTCCATTTAGTTTAAGAATACACTGATGTCCTTGGGAAAGGCACGAATCACTCTATTCTAAACCCCCACACGCCGGCACTATGGTGTAAATAGCAGGATTTATTAGTCTTGGATGTTAACCATCTTAGACAACAAGAAACAATTTCACTATCTTTCTAAATCATAGCAAATCACCGATAATGACGAAAAGAAGACACAGGAAGACCCTATAATAGACGATGACCTGAAGGAGCATGGCATTAATAATAATAATAATAATAATAGTAATAATAATGTGCTTATCGACCATCTTGTCTGACAATACAATATTAAGAGGAATCATGAATGGACCCTGACAGATGTTGCGGTCCCTTGGGTTAAGAATATCGTGAGGCAGGCGAAAATATTTAGGTACCAATGGCACAAGCCAGGTATGGTTTATCATCTCTTAGTTGCATCTCTAAATTTGGTCCGTGCGACTCAGTTGTGACCCTGTCCGCGCACAGAGATGCATCCCGGCTGCACCCCGACCTGGTACTAAATAGGAGTGGGGATCATTAGTCATACCGATGCCAGCGCAATAGACGGTGGCGGATTCTGGGCAATTTTTGTCCTTGGCCCGGGTGTACGCGCTCGGGTTTCCCATCTTAATATCCGGGCTTGTGTCCAGGGTAAATAACCATGGGGGTACCAAGAAAGATCAGAGAACTATACTAAGCAACAGCTCTAGTTATCCCTTTTGTGGTTGGCGCACTCGGAATTATTTCCAAAGATCTTTCTGCTTCGCAAATAGTCTGATATCATTGTCAGTGCAATGGTGGCAGTGGTACTTGGATTAAATGATATTCTATCCGGAAAGTGTTGTGTTTAACCTACTGGTCGGAGTTGAGAAGACACTCGTCACCAGGCTGAAGTCTCAAAGAGTCGGAGAGGATATTTAATAATAATAATGTTGGAGTTAATCCTGTTTTGGTGAGCAATTGTCTCCTTGTTTGTGGAAGAGTTTATTCCATTCACAGATTTTTCGATCCCAGACTGGTTCCTCGCTGAGGAACGGAACAAATTCGGTATGAATTTTTGTTTGTAAACATTGAGATTTGTATTTATTTATTTTTTTTGTGTTTTGTCCTTAACCGCCAAGGAATAATAATAATAATAATAATAATAATAATAATAATAATAATAAGTAAAGCACAAGACACCGGCTGAAGCTGCAAAATACTTAAAAAAGAAAGCAAAGACAAATGCAACCAACCAGATACAGAAACAATGGCAAGATAAACCGCTTCATGGCCAATACTCTGGCCGTACCAAACAAGCTGACGTAGACAAAATCCGTACCCATCAGTGGCTAAGTAGTGCATGGTTGAAAGCTAAAACTGAAGGTTTATCCTTGTTGCACAGGACCAATGCTTGTTAACTAGGAATTATCAAGCACATATACTAAAATATTGTGTTATCGCAAAATGCAGATTCTGTGATAAATATCCAGAAACGATTGATCATCTTGTATCAGGTTGAACGATATTGGCACCCACTGAATATAAAATCCAGCATGGCAGAGTGGGCCAATATCTGCACTGGAAAATACGCAACTTCTACGGGAAGGAAACTGAAGAAACTGGTATGAACACCACCCAGACCCGGTTACGGAGATAGAACCTGTTACAATTCTATGGGACTACAAAATACACACTGACAGAACAATCAAAGCCGCCGCCCAGACATTGCCTCCTTATTGATATGGCAGTCCCTGCAGACTGCAATGTATATTTGAAAATATTCAAAAAACTGTCAGAATACAAGGACCTTGAAATAGAAATCTCAAAAATGTGGCATATGGGAACATCAACAATTCCTGTTGTTGGAGCCCTAGGACTGGTTGGAAAAGATTGCAGTAGACTAATTGAAGGGATTCCTGGAAGACCATGCCTCAAGGAGATACAAAAAATTGTTCTGACAAGTACAGCCCACACTTTACGAAGGGCTTTATCTATGTAATTTTTTTTTTTTTTTTTTTGTCAGTGGAAAGTGTCATGATGCCATTTCTAACCTTAGGTCCCTGGGCGAGACCCGGAAAGAAATGTGTAAACGCCAGAAATCAAAAGAAATAAAAAAAATAATAATAATTTGTTTTTTGACCATCTTGTATCAATTTTCGCGTTATTAGCACCCACTGAATATAAAACACGACACAACAGAGTGGGCCAATATCTGCACAAGAAAACCTGCAACACTTAAGGAAACTGCAAAAAAATTGGTATGAACACCACCCAGACGCGGTTACGGAGATAAAACCTGTAAAAAATTCATGGGACTTTACAATACACAGAGACAGAAAAATGAAAGCTAATCGCCCTGATATCGTGATTAGAGACCGCAAAGACTAAATGTGCCTTGTTATTGACATGGCAGTCCCTGTAGACTGCAATGTATCTTTAAAGACCTTAAAAAAAGAACTATTAAAATACAAGGACCTTGAAATGGAAATCTAAAAAATGCAGCGCATGAGTACATTAAGAAATCCAGTTGTAGTTGGAGCCCTCGGAATGATTGGAAAAAATTCTAATAGACACATTGAAGAAATCCCTGCTACCCCTGCTTTGGGGAAATACAAACAATTGTACTCACAAGTACAGCCCACAACTTAGGAAGTGCTTTGTATATGTAAATTATGTGCGATTTTTTTTTCAAAACTGCTCAATGGAAAATGTCATGATGTCATTTCTGACCTTAGGTCTCTTGTTGGGACCCGGAAAGAAATGAATATACGCTAGAAATCAAGTGAAATCAAACAATAATTATAATAATGATAATAATCATGATGATGATGTGGCACATAAGGACATCAATAATTCCACTTGTAGTTGGATCCCTCGTATTGATTAGAAAAGTTTGCGATAGACTCATTGAAGAAATTCCTGCTAGTCCAAGCCTTAAAGAAATACAAAACATTCTACTCACAAGTACAACCCATAACTTACGAAATGATTTATCTATGTAAAAATGTGTTCTCTCAGGGTTGTTTTTGTTTTTTGTTTTTTGTTGTTTCTTTTTCCTCATGAAATGCTCAGTGAAAAATGTCCTAATGCGATTTCTAATCTTAGGTCTCTAGCTGGGACCCGGAAAGAAATGAGTACACACCAGAAATCAACTAAATAATAATAATAGTAATAATAATAATAATAATAATAATGATGATGTCGGATTGGTTGGAAAAGATTCCAATGGACTCACTGAAGGGATACCTGGTAGCGAATACCTTAAAAAAAATACAAAAAATTATTCTCACGTGTACAACCCACGCCTTACGAAGGGCTTTATCTATGTAAAATATGTGTCATTTTTTTTTACAAATTTGCACAGTGGAAAATGTCATTATGCCATTTCTGATCTTAGGTCTCTGGTTGGGACCCAGAAAGATATGAGAACACACCAGAAATCAAAGGAAATACTACTACTACTACTACTACTACTACTACTACTAATAATAATAATAATAATAATGATAATAATAATTTAGATTAGCAGTTAGATTGCACATAGCCGGGTGAATTTTTTTTTCTCAAAAGGATAATTCCAGCATGATAATCTGACATAATTCCAACATGGTCCAGTGATTCCTTTAATTGTGAGAACAGCCTCATATTTTTTAAATTAAAAGAGAGAGAAAGAGAATATTATAAATGCCATAAATTGGTGGAATTTTTGATGATCACGTATTAGAGAGACAGTAAGAAGTTGAATCTTAATGACACCTGACGATGGGTTGGGGACTTAGCGGGCCGAAACGTCTTGGTATTGCACTTGGAGAAGTCTTACTTGTAATTAGTGATCAAGGATATTGCCTGATGCGTTGTCCAAATAACCAGTTACTTCAAAAGCAAAGAACTACCATATAACAAGCTGTTTCTACCTACTGTTTCATACTTATCAAAAAAGAAAAGAGAGAGAGATAAAGAAAGAGAGAAAATGTGGGTGAAAGAGAGAGCAAAATAATTGAGAAAAAGAAAAAAAATCACGAAAATTTAGGCGTCAGTAAATAACTGAAGTCATTGCAATTTTAATTTTGTCGTAATCAGCCAAGGCCAAATGTGCTATTCAGACGAAAGGTTTCTCTTTATTTTTCTTTTCTTTCCCATTTTTTATTACTTACGGGTAGAACTACCCGGGGTATATCTTTCATATTAACGGATTTCATATTTAACGGGAGTCACGAGGCTTCCTTATGCGCCAAAGATTCCACGAAATATTTCTGACCTACGTATTATACACCTATGAAATCGATTGATTGATTTGTTTGTTTAATGGCATATCAACTCCTTTAGGGTCATTTAGTGGTGAAATTTAATTTTCTGGAGAGATTTGAAATAGAAAAAAATATAATACATGTTATTCTGCTTTCACAATTGAATACATGGTAGATGATACTCAGCTTTTTATGCGTACTTCCCTTCCTCTTACTTGTTTTACCTGATATTAATAATCTTCAAAAATTTAAATCTAATCTCAATCGACATTTTCTGTTGCCATGATCCCCGTTCTTCTTTTTATCCTCCCCCATTTTTCTTTTTTTTCCTTTCCTCACCGCCACCCCATACTCAGTTTGGGTTACATCTGCACTTAGAAAATAACCATAATTACTAGAAGTGGTGATATGTGTGTTTCATTTTTTAGTTTTGTTGAAGTTATATTTTGGAATACAGTTTGATTTCTTTAAGAAACCATAGGATATTATATGGATTAATGAGATGAAAGGGCATTACATGAATTAATGACATGAAAGGCTCTTATATGGATTAATGACATGAGAGGGTATTATATAGATTAATATCATGAAAGGGTATTAGATGGATTAATGACATAAAAGTGTATTATATGGATTAATGACATAAAAGGGTATTATATGGATTAATGTCATGAAAGGGTATTATATGGATTAATGACATGAGAGGGTATTATATAGATTAATATCATGAAAGGGTATTACATTGATTAATGACATGAAAGGGTATTACATGGATTAATGACATAAAAGGGTATTATATGGATTAATGACATAAAAGGGTATTATATGGATTAATGACATAAAAGGTTGTTATATGGATTAATGTCATGAAAGGGTATTATATGGATTAATGACATAAAAGGGTATTATATGGATTAATGATATGAAAAGGTATTATATAGATTAATGTCATGAAAGTTTATTACATGGATTAACGTCATAAAAGTGTATTATATGGATTAATGGCATGAAAGGGTATTACATGGATTAATTGCATGAAATGGTATTATATAGATTAATGTCCTGATCTGTTGATTTTGTTCAGCAACATATCAACCTCTAGGAGTTATTTAATGCCGAAATGTAAATATTTTTAACATATTTTCCCGTCTTCAAATACAGATAAAATGTATTTTTAGTCATTTTAGTATTCAATTTTTTGTTGGCCATTATACTATCAATAGTTGGTATTTTTTATATAATAATGTATTACTGGTATTGTTACTATTAATATATATATTTTTATACCTTCGTAGTGTTCACTAATTGCCGATAGCTGGTGCCATAACAGGTGCTACCATCCCGTGTAAGGGGTGGGACCAGGTGACCAACAGAAGTTATGAGCTTCTTCCACGCTCCTCAAAACCTCCGAAACTCCCGACCAAAAGGCCTTGCTGATGTAGCCCTACCAAATCGTTTAGGTATGACGAATTGTTATTATTAAGAAAGTTAGAGTGATATGATGACAAGTCAACGCTTGTTGGATTATTTAATGACAAATTTGGTATGAGGCACCAAGTGCGGCTCAAAGTTACTATTCCGTAGTAATCTTCAACCAGACAAGCCCTTCTAAATATTAGGTTGGTGCAAAAATAATGACGTAATAATGTCGTTTTTGACGTATTTTTTAAGGTCAAAAAACGACATTATTACGTCGTTATTTTTGTACCAACCTAATATTACCCCATGCCGAATTATGTTGGTTGATTGTATGATATATTAACTCTTATTAGATTATATAATATTGAATTTTGTATGGAGGCGGTGAGGACCAAAGTCACTACTCAGTAGTAATGGTCAACCAGATTAACTGTTAACCAATGCCAAGATCAGTGCTACACGTGATACAAGCTTCGGTAATCATGTCTCTTTGGATGATTAGGCAAAATATTTTCTCGTGGTATGTTACCATTTTTTTCTACGATAGACTGGTTGCGAACCAAAGCTATAGAACTCAGTCTGTCCTGCTATTTATAGTTGGGCGATAGAGATGGATTCATGCATTCTCCAAGATTATTTGCACGTAATTGATTGCAATGAACCCGACTGGAATTCGAAATTGGATCTGTGGTTTCTCATTTCGAGCCGTTATCCATTACCCGACACCACACATACCATGCCAAGTTAGGCTGTTTAATTTTATATGTCAACCCGTGTTAAAATATCTAGGAGATTAAAAACAAAAAACAAATCACATCAAAAAAGGAAAACAGGATCAGCCTACAACAATAAATACAAAAACTGTAAAATCTGTCTGGAGGAGAAAACAACTATAATTACCTTTCCAGACCAAAACAAATTACTAAATAAACTTTCAGAACTTAACTGAAATTGCAAACGCAAAAAACAAATTTTAACTATGTTACTTAAAACCGAAAGTAAAAGCAAACAAGAATAATAATTAAATAAAATAAAATAAATAAAAATAAATAAATTAATCCAAACCAATAAGTAAATAAATTAAGTAAATAATAAACAAATTAACAAACCACGAACGCACATATAAACACGAGTCACGGTGGAGTAATGTATAGCGGCTCGGATTGAGGAATCAGGGAGCCTAGTTCGAATTCCAGTCGGATCCACTGCATTCACTTACATGCTGGGAAAAATATGGATAAATAGCAGAACAGATAATTAAATGGGTTCTATAACCTTGGATGGCAACCGGTTTAGGGGAAGGAAAACTTCAAAACCGTCCTGGAGAAGGTTAGCCCCCGTCAGTCTATCTTGCCCAGGAAAGGCTATTTTCTACTGTGGCTGCAGTACTACGGGTCACAGGAGTAAAGAAACAACATAATAAGAATAAAATAATAAATAAATAAATGGTAACAAACAACACTATAAATAGACAAAAAACTGCATCCAGGTCTACAATTATTTCCACTCAATAGCCCCAAGAATAATTAAAAACATAACGGTTACCACCCTCCAAAATAACCGTTAGAATATTACAGTAGAATACCCACAATGCATCACTGATTTGTATATATGAATAGTTGAACAAAAACACAACAAAAATGGCCTGACGATTGTGTTTACTTCAATGTCAACTTTATATACATATATATAAATATATAAGTTTTTCTTTATTCACCATTATTTCTTGTTGCTGTAAACATTATATATTTGGTTGGGAGGGAGTCGTTTCGACGTGGTGCATTGGGGAGCAAGCTTGTCTCTCTAGGGCAGCGTTTCACAAACTTTTTACCCTGTCGTAACCCTTAAAATAAATTACATGTCTCAAAGAAACACAATGGAATTGTAAAAAAAAATTTTTAATATAAATTAAACCAAACCAAACACTTTTTAATTTTAGTTCATAAAAAGTTTATTAAATTTATTTTTTCCTTCCTTTTCTTATAACGTTTTTCTTTTTTTTTCTATTTCTCTTTATGTTTTGTTGTTTGCTTTCTCTTTTCATTCCTTCTTTTCTCTCCCCCCCCCCCGCCTCACATTTCTATCATCTTTCTTGGTTTTCATTTATCTCTTTCTAAACCCACTTTCTCTAGTTGCTTTCTTCAAGTATTTTATGAGGAGGAAACTGAAGTTCCTGGGACCAATAATGAGGAAGGAGGGCCTGGAGAATCTGATACTCACGGGCCGAATAGAGGGAAAGAGAGCGAAGGGAAAACAACGCGTGACATACCAGGCGGACTTAAGCAAGCGGATGACAGAACGTGGTCTGAGGGAAGAAGCAGAGGGAAGGAACTTGTTAAGAGCTGCAAGTGATAGATGGGGTGGAGAGCCATGATCGCCTACGTCCTGAAAGGACATAGCACATAAAAAGACAGTTTTTAACAGTTCCGTTTATCCACAAATCTCTTTTTGCATCTTTCGCAAAGCC